CGAGTTTTAATATTGGGGGGGGGGGGGGGGTTAATTATCGGGGGAAACGATTACTTGGACGTGTCCGTGATGGAGGCTAAAGTCGAGTTGATCAAAATCTTCTACGGCAAGCGACCTCCCAGCGCAAATTTGTTTATAAGGGCAGCCTCCTCGCACTTGAAGCATGCCGGGCTGCATCATGTTTGTCTCCGCCAAGGAGCAACGGTCCAGGCATGTCCGCGCCAGTGCATCAATGGCAATTGCTTGCTAGACACTATACGCACTCGCATACTTGCAACATCCTGCAACCGAATGTCGATGTCGCAAACGTCCATCCGGAGCACGGTGGCCGCCAACCATGTCGCCCGGGACCTGAACGAGATCCTGTTGCAGGATGTGGACAACGACAACGAAACGGGTGCTTCCGTATCGTTAGTGCAGACTCCTTGTTTTGGCAAGAGCTTTCGAAGCAGATCAATTTTGTCACCAACAGCTATCTCTGTTGATCACGGTCACTGCGCGGATTTATCTGTGGCTATTTTTGCGGCAGAAATTTGCGTATGCCATATATCGAATTTCCTAGTCTTGTCGATGCTTCCTTGGCGACGGCTTTCTTAATTTTGAAAATCTGAGTGACTGCGAGAACAGTTCCATAAGGCGAAGAGTAGATCCTCCAGGTCAACGGGCCGAAGGCCGCTGTAGACATGGTTCAAGCGTGTGCCGCACGCGGCTCCATACTTGCCAAAAACAATCCACCTAGAGGCTTTCGACAGCATGCGCGGCATCCAGTGTGCCTAAAATTTGAGAATGCGATGCGCCAGGACATCCTGTCGATCGGTGCGCTTTTGCAACTACAGATGGGTCCGTGCTAGAAGATCAACGACGACGAGCACGCTCTGTTTCGCAAAGATTTGTGCTGCTTACCGGCTCGAACTGTGTACATTGGCTCCATGCATTAGATGCTCATGATGCAGTCAGAATGCACGGGAAGACGAGGAGGCAGGCAATTTTTCAAATGTATCGGCGAGGGGAAATGCTGGTTATCCAATCAGGCGAAGCAACGTTGCTGCAAATGTTGCATAGACAGACTCAGTAGTGCATGAGTGCACAGGTGCTCAGTGCCTTCACATTAGTCACCCAACAGCAAAAGACGATGTAAAGCTTACAATAGCCTTTGAAGTGACATTCTCGGCTTCTTCTTCACGTGTCCGAGAATGTGTTCCGAGTTGTAATCGTGTCGGGCAGGGCTGTTGAGGTTGTAGCCTATGTCTGCGACTTCGTATGTCAATTTTCGTTGATCACACTCGCATGTTGTAGAGCTGTTTCCATCGTCACAGAGTCATGCTTTGGACCTTGCAGGTAACGCAAAAAGCGGGCCACCGGGGCATCGCACGGTGTAATATTGGCAGTCATGCTAGAACTAATCGTAGTAAAGTCGTGTTAGAACTGAGAGTTTCCGACAATTAGGGGGACCTTATTTTGGGGTCCTTCTAATAAGGATCCTATCATTTAGGGTACTATATTAGGGTTATATTAGGGTTTAGGGTTTAGGGTTTAGGGTTTAGGGTTTAGGGTTTAGGGTTTAGGGTTTAGGGTTTCGGAAACCCCCAACTGCTGCAGATCTCTAAGGCCTTGGGCCGTCCGCCACGGTTTCGCTGCTGCTGCCTTGGAGTCCCTGCAGCGGGCCGTGGAGGTGCCGGTTAAGGTTTAGGGTTTAGGGTTTAGGGTTTAGGGGTTCGGGTTTAGGGTTTAGGGTTTAGGCTTTGGAGTTTAGGGTCCAGGGTTCACAGGGTTTTGGGGCGAAGTGGACTAGAATATATGTGGATTTCTGTACTGCCTGCAGCTGTAGCAAAGAACCCGATTGAGTACGTATCATGAGGCTCCATGGAGTTCAAGAGAGAGGAGCTACCAGCTGCTATTCATAGGGTTTGAAGGCTAGTATTTACAGTATTCATGGGCTTTAGAGTGTGCGGTAATGGTACGTGCATGATTTGGGTTTAGGGTTCAGAAGACATGACAGACAATATCGAGGTCAGGGACGGTGGAGTCTCTCCAAGTTCGCCACCTTGTTAGGACCTCGTGATATGCCGACACCACATCTCCAAGATCCAGCGAAGAAATTTAAGATAAGCTGTTTGAGCAACGGATGCAGGCGCCGCATCCCTTGGAGCGTCCTGCAACTCGTCTTAGCAAGGGTTGCTTCTGTGGGGGGATGGGGGTGGGGGCATGGAGTTGTTCGATGTGCTTGGGACATTGCGGCACGTCAATGCAGCTGCATGAAGTTATGGGTCACGGTCACAGCCGACCGAAAGATTGCAATCTTGCCCGTTGTCAATCTGTGGCCAAATCGGTGCAAGTTGAAACCCCGATCCCTCCGTGCACACTCTCGTTGTCGAGCCCATCCAGGTCTGTGTCGTGACGTTCGACGAAGTTGCCTCCCGCCTAAACACAAGGCATTCAAGCCTGAATGGCGAATAGAGCACAGAGATGATTGAGGTCGCATGTCGGGATGCAAATTGGCCTTAGTTGCCAGAGCTGTTCCCCTAAACCCTAAACCCTAAACCCTAAACCCTAAACCTAATCTGCATTGACACCCTGCAGCTGCTCACAGCCTCAGGTCACTTTTTACGAGCTCACTCCTGTCGGGCGCTTCCGTGCTGTGGCAGCCAGGCAGCACTTCGATAAGCTGTTGTACTCTCGTTCAGAGAACTGCCCGGAACTGCACAACGCCATTCACCGCTCCCTCCAGTCTCAGAAGCCTTTGCAAGAAACGCCCCAAGTCCCCAATCCCCAAGCCCTAAGCTGGCCCTAAACCCGAAACCCGAAACCCCTTTTAAACCCCAAAACCACATGCACCCTAAACCCTGAACCCTAAACCCTAAACCGCTAAACCCCTAAACCCTAAACCCTCCTGAACCCCTAAACCTCTAAACCCTAAACCCTGAACCCCTAAACCCCTAAACCCTCCTGAACCCCTAAACCCCTACACCCTGAACCCTCCTAAACCCTGAACCCTAAACCCCTAAACCCTCCTGAACCCCTAAACCTCTAAACCCTAAACCCTGAACCCCTAAACCCCTAAACCCTCCTGAACCCCTAAACCCCTACACCCTGAACCCTCCTAAACCCTAAACCCTAAACCTCAAGACCCCTAAACCCCTAAACCCCTAAACCCCTAAGACCCCTAAGACCCCTAAACCCTAAACCCCTAAACCCCTAAACCCCTACACCCTGAACGCTCCTAAACCCTAAACCCTAAACCCTATGTGTCCCAGGTGATGCCCGACCTCGAGGATCCCTTCCTGCCCGTGAACCCAGAGGCCCTGGGCGCCCCTTGGAGTCCACGGTTCAGGGCTTTAGGGTTTAGGGTTTAGGGTTTAGGGTTTAGGGTTCAGGGTTCAGGGTTGAGGGTTTAGGATTTGGGGTTTAGGGTTTAGGGTTTAGGGTTTAGGGTTTAG